TCCTCCGGTGGAGCGCTGTTGCCAGCTTACATTTGACACCGCTATGGCTCCTGCACTAGCTCTCTCTTGCTCGCTAAACAACCCTACATTGAGATCTACTTTTGCAACAGTTAGATTAAACAATTGCAACATACGACTAAAATAGATGAAACATTTGGAACATACAATTGCAACAAAGTCATTGTAACAAATGCAACATTCAGATAGAACACTTGCATCATACGTCTGAAATAGATAAAACATTTGGAACATGTTGTTGCAACATATGTGTGAAACATATCCAAACATCCAGATCAAAACGCTTGCAACATACGTCTAGAACAGATAAAACATTTTGAACAAACGCTTACAACATGCCTTTGAAACACTTGCAACATATGCAACAAGTGCAACATCTCTGATCTACTCTTGCAACATCCATAACAAACAACTGCAAAGTACTTTTGAAATGGGTGAAACACCTGAAACATACATTTACAACATAGGGGATGGGAAGCCTGAGCCGGTTGATTCCAGACGTCAGGGTCATAGCCGGTAGGGAGTGGTGGCGCACGAGCACCACCAGCACCCAACACCACCAGCACCAGCCTTGGTTTAGCCTGGTGGACAGCGCGTGCTACAAGATGGAGCAGGCGGAGCGGCGCACGGCCAAGGTGAGGAGCGAGGTGCAGGTGGGCGCGACAGGCGGGGGAGAGGAGCGAGCGGCGCAGGTGGGCACGCAACGGCTAGACAGCGAGGAGCGAGCGGTGCAGGGTCAGGGCGCGGTGGGAGAAGGTCGAGCGGTGTCCTGATGAGAATAAGAGATGGAGGGAATTAAAGTTGTGGTGCACATCACGCCACGCGTCCGTCCGGAGGGAGTCGCTAGTGTCGGACATCATGTTTGTACCATTATAATTTTTAATATAGCACCTTGCGTATGGACGCATACTCATTTATTAGTTTTGATTATGTTTTATACTAATTTAAAGATATTCTAAATCTTACTCCAAAGGAGCTCACAATTTTTAGTATATTATTATAATGTTATAATACCATAATACAATTATATACGATAACCATATACACTATTTATACTTACATACTTGATGTATATATTATTTTATAATATAGTCCATATAAATATAATTCGTTGGTGTATACCTTCTAGATCTACGCATTTATATTTTAGATGCCTGAATTATAAGATGATTTCAGGTAACACTCACTATTACACAAATGATTTTAGGACACGGTGCCCAAATATTAATGAAAGGCGGGCACGAAATCCAACCGCCTCCAAAAAAGCCAGACTATTAATGGAGGCGGTCGTTTTTATTTGAGGAGGCGGACAAAAAATAACCGTCTCCTAAAATCAATTTACGTTTAAGACAACCGCCTCCAAAAATGACATATTGTCGGAGGCGGTTGAAAGGGACCGTGATGCCTAAGAGGGGGGGTGAATTAGGTAACTTAAAATTCTACTTATAACTAAGGCCTCTAATTTCACCTAGTCAAAACCTATGCAGAAAAGTAATCTATCTAAATGTGCAACTACGGTTTTGCTAGGTGTGTTGCTATCTCTACCGCAAAAGAATGATGCAACATAGGTTCCAATCCTATCAACTAGCCTATCAACTTAGCTAGGGAAGTAAAGCACACAACCAAGTTAGCAATGTAAATACGGAAGGTAAAGATAAGGTAGAGGTGCAAACTCACGTCGACGACTCTGGTATTTTTACCGAGGTATCGAGAAGCGCTCAAGCTTCCCCCTAGTCATTGTTGGAGCCTCTCGCAAGGAATCCCTCGCAAGAGCCAAGCTTCTGGTCGGATAACTCCGTGGATAGCCCCGGGCCTTCCCCACGTGCAAGTGGGTCTCCGGTGTGCCTTCTGACAAGTCTCTCCCGGACCGCTCTCTGCCGTCTTCACTATCAAGCTTCTGGCCGAACCGCCGCGGGCCTTGCTCCCTTCGATATAAGGTGGCGGCCACACCACAAACGTGGTTGGTGTGATCTCGCAAGACTACAAGCCCCTCCGATGTACAACATTGGTGCGTGCAAGCACCGAGTGATAAGAGGTGTGCAAACCTCACTAAACACTAGGCCTAAACCTAGAGCAAACACATAAGCGGTGGTCTAATCAACCTAAGTACTTCGTAAAGTACCTACGCATATCACCTAATGAATCACTAAGCACTATGCAAATGGAGATCACTAAAATGGTGTATCAACACCCTTGGTACGTTTGCTCAACTCTCAACACTCAAATGGCCAGTTGGGGGGTCTATTTATAAGCCACATAGAGGAAGTAGTTGTTGGGGGCGAAACCCAACTTTCTGCTACTGACCGGACGTTGCTGTCGTTCTGACCGGACGCGTCCGGTCATCCTATCCGTTGAGCACGCACGTAGAGATCGAACGCACTGTCGAGTCCGGTCATCATCGACCGAGCACGTCCGATCGCATTTGCGCCGCTCTGGAACCTCTCTGGACATGATCGGACGTTGCACTTTGTGCGAACGGTCATCCAGTGCCACTGCGTTCGGTCCTCACTGAGTTGTTGCCGCGATGATGAATAGTGAAGTCCGTACGTCCGGTCACTGCCTCGCTCAGCGTTCGGTCACTGCTGCTGACGCCTGCTGTTGCCGAGCAATTAATCGGACGCGTCCGGTCCTCATAGGGCCGCATCTGGTCACCTCTGTGGAGCTCGTTTCTTCACGATCTTGCGTCCGGCTTAGTTCCTATCTTCGTGCTTGGGCTTTGCTTGATATCTTGGATACTCTCTTGTGCTTCTATGGTCTTGTTAAAGGTGTTGATCATCAGATCATCATGTCGCCTTCGTCCAAGTCACGTTTGCACTCTATTGAACTACAAAACAATTACTTGCAAATTTATTAGTCCAATTTAGTTGTGTTGGTCATCAAACACCAAAATCCAAAGTAAATGGGCCTAGGGTCCATTTTCCTTACAGCGGTCGTCTTAATACGTCCGCCTCCTTAAATCCATTTTCGGAGGCGGGCACACTGTAAGGCTCGCCTCCAAAAATACTAGCCTAGCTTTGAGGCCCGTTAGCAGCCCGCTCTAAACCCTAGCTAAAAAATGCAACCCACCTCTCCACTTCTCTAGCTCTCTATCCACTTCACTCCCTCTCAGCCGCCGCCCCAGAACACAGCGCCTCTCTGCTCACGACACTCCCTTCCTCCCTTCCGGCGCTACCTCCTTCCCTCCCTCTCTCCCGGCGTTCCCTCTCCGTGGTGGCGCGGGGCCGCAGGCCACGCGGTTGCAGTGGTGGCGCAGGGCCACGGGGCTGCGTGGTGGCAAGCGGCACAGTGGCCGTGGTGGCGAGCGGCGCGGTGCCCGTGCTTGCGAGCGATGCGGTGAGGAGCAAGGGCACGGGCAGCGGGCTCGATCCGGCGGCGCGGAAGGTACATATCCCTCTCTCTCTCTCCATCTCCATCACTCTTCTCTCTCTTCCCCTCTTCATCTCCCTCACTCTGCCCTCTCTCCTTTTGCAGATCCGGCGACAGGACTCTGGAGCAGGGGCAGATCTGGGTGACGCCACGACAGCAGCATGGAGGGCGACTGGCGTGGGCGTGGATCTAGCTCTGGGGCTAGGATTGGGCTTGCCGGTAGGCTCGAAAATGGGCTCGCCGATGGGCTATGTTTTTTTTTGTTTTTTTAATCCATTAACCAAGGCGGGCATTTGCAAGACGCCCGCCTCCGTTAATAGATTAACCGAGATGGGTAAAGCAACCGCCTCCATTATTCTCCATTAACGGAGGCCTTTGATTGAAGGCGGTTGCAATGCCTGCCTCCATTAATCTGTTTTGCCCACCTCCAATAAACTCTATGTAGTAGTGACTCTTGTACAACCAACTAGTGCAAGTAAACTGTTACTTTTGTGATTTGGTGTTCGTCATTGTTCATAACATATCAATTTTTGTCCATATCGACTATAAAAGTAATTATAAATTATTAATTGTCTTTGTAGCGACACATATTAGATTTTGACAAATTTAGGGTTTTGTCTAACTGTTTTTTTATTCTCCGAAGCGAAAATTACAAATCATGCATACATAAATTGCAAAGAACTAAAATTAGAATTTTTTAATATAAAATATAGACAATAACTGTCGCCTAAAAATAAATTAAAGTTCAACGAGCACCTGGATTTTAGCGAGTTTCCTAAGGCCTTGTTCGGTTAGTTAAGATTGTACCCGGTAATCATTCCAGTTCAACAATAGTTATACAAATTACACAAGCAATCCAGCTATGAATAATTCCAAGCCGCCGTTCTCTAGGAACCAAACACCTGAATGTAATCTTGATATACAACGCTACATTCCTCCGCAAAACATGGAGTCGAGCACATGGTGACGGCCTCACGACCGGATCTTCACCGTGCCGCATGCAGGGCACAGTTCTCCAGAGACAAAGCACAGAACATGATTGATACTATATACACACATGATCTGACCTGATAAAGTGAAAGTGTTCTTTAGTGGAGTGAAATGTGTTTTTAATCCAGGTGCAAATCAAGGTTTGAGACCTGTGCTTAATTGAAATATCTCATGATAATAAGGAACCACAGAAGTTGACAGGCTAGCTAACAGAGGGAGAGAGACAAAATGTTGTCTTGGAGGAACGCAGGGCAGGGCACGCTGCACGCCATATTGGAGATTTGGAGTATACTCCTATATTCTAGTGCTATATGTTAACTTCAACTCATCGTGATCTCCGCAATATATTGTTACTACATTCGCAAATCGATTGAGCTCCAAACAGCCAGGTGTGGCCAAATGGACATCGTGACGCTGTCCCTAATCCTCGTCTTCCTCCTCATCATCGCTCACCAGTCACCAGGAGCTACTACACCGCCCCACCATCGCCCACGCCCACCAAGTCGACGGCGGCGGCGGCGGCACTCCGGCTGCCACCGGGGCCATGGCAGCTGCCGCTCATCGGCAGCCTGCACCACCTCCTGCTGTCGCGCTTCAGCGACCTGCCGCACCAGGCGCTGCGCGAGATGTCCGGCACCTACGGCCCGCTCATGCTGCTCCGCTTCGGCTCCGTGCCCACGCTGGTGGCCTCCTCCTCCGAGGCCGCCAGGGACGTGATGCGGACCCACAAGCTGGCCTTCTGCAGCCGGTACCTGAGCGCCACCCTGGACATCATCAGCTGCGGCGGCAGGGACATCCTCTTCTCCCCCTACAACGACCGCTGGCGCGACCTCCGCAAGGTGTGCATGCTGGAGCTCTTCAACCCGCGCCGCGTGCTCTCGTTCCGGACCGTCCGGGAGGAGGAGGTGGCGCGCCTCCTCCGCTCCATCTCAGACCAGTGTGGTGGCCATCATGCCGGCGTCGTCGTCATCAACCTCAGCGACGGCATCTGCCGCATGGTGAACGACGTCGTCGTGCGGACCGCCATCGGCGACCGGTGCAAGCACCGCGACGAGTTCCTGCACGAGCTCGACGAGGCGGTGCGGCTCACCGGCGGGTTCAGCCTGGCTGACCTGTACCCGTCGTCGCGGCTCGTGCGCCGGTTCAGCGTCGCCGCCAGAGACATGGGAAGGTGCCAGAAGAACGTGTACCGCATCATCGAGAGCATCATCCATGAGCGCAAGGTGGCCGCCACGCGTGTGCCGGCGGACCGAGACGACGACGACGACCTCCTCGGCGTCCTCCTCAGGCTGCAGAGGTAAAGTGGCCTGCAGTTCCCTCTCACCAACGAGATTGTCAGCACCGTCATTTTCGTAAGATCGTCAGATCGATCTCATCACTTTGCATTATCTTCTTCGCTTTTATAATTTCAGTCACCTTCTCCCTCATCAACAAGATCGACCATATTATATACAAATTAATTGTAGGATATTTTTGCTACCGGGAGTGATACGTCATCAACAGTGCTAGTGTGGGCCATGTCAGAGCTTGTAAAGAACCCACGGGTGCTGCACAAGGCGCAATCAGAGGTGAGGGAGACCTTCAAGGACAGGAGAAGCTAACCGAAGACGACATGTCCAGGTTAAGCTACCTGCACCTGGTGATCAAGGAGGCGTTACGGCTGCACGCGCCGGTGCCATTCCTGCTGCCCCGGCAGTGCCGAGAGGCGTGCCAGGTCATGGGCTACGACGTGCCGAAGGGCACCAAGGTGTCGTGAACGTCTGGGCAATTGCGGACGACAGGTTTTGGGGTGACGGCGAGATGTTTAGGCCAGAAAGATTTGAAAGTAGCAGTGTTGATTTCAGGGGCATTCGGGGCCGGCAGGAGGATCTGCCCTGGCATCACGCACGGGCTGGCCAACATGGAGCTCGTGCTCGCTAGCCTCCTCTATCACTTCGACTGGGAGCAGCCCGGTGGCGCCGGCTCTGGAGACCTTGACATGACAGAGGCCTTTGGTATAACGCTGAAAAGGAAGTCCAAGCTCATGCTCAAGGCCATACCTCGTGTTAATTAGTTCATTCATGTCAAAACTAAGTAGTTGTTCTGTGCTATGATGCATGGATCAAAAATAAATTTTCCACTTGCGCTTCTAGCCAATGGATCAAAGTCACTGTCTAGTTGGGTGCAATTGTAGTTTCCACCAATTTGGAACCACCACATGTGTATCGTTTGATATTTCAGTTTCGATGTAATCCATTTTGTTGCAAATGTTCGCCACCTATTTAGTTCGGTTACAAAAGCAGCCTACAGAGTGCATTCTTTAACACCAATTCGACATGTTTCCATCTATTTGGACCACAAATGTAGTTTTTGTCAAAATCATTATATGCTTCTAATAAGACTATAAGGGCCGATGAAAGTGTAAATGCGTTAAATTGCAATACAGCCAGTGGTGTGGCTCGTTGATGTGTCTTTGTTGGGTGTCCTGTGTTGATGTCTCAATTCAATCGGTTGGTATAGTCTTTGCGGCTTTTAGTTTCTATTTGGTTGTTGTAGTTACTCGACCCCTGGAGATCTCCAGCCTGTTCAGCTGGCTGGCTGGATCATGGATTATTTACTGCTGACTGGTTTGGTGTGAGAGAAAAATACTGTTTCAGCTTATGATCCACGATCATATACGATCGTTTACGGCCTGCCGAACAGGTTGTTTCATCGCTCTGTTGTATTTATATTGTTTGGTCTAATCTGGTTTCATCTTTTTTTAATATTGTCGTCAACTGTCGTGCATGATCTGTATAAAAAAAACTTGACTCGACTAGATTGACCTACTGTGGCTCTACATCGGTGAAAATAAGCAAAATCAGTTGAGTGTCATATATCCGAGGTGGTTTTGCAACAAAACAATTTAGTGGGGGGTCTCTAACTCCAAGTGTCATATGAGGTGGTTTTTTTGTAATTTTTTCCTACAATATAATTTTCTAAGGGCATCTTCAGCAAGGACGTGAAACTAATGCATGGTTTGATACGGCATTCGAAGGAGTCGAATCGACCACTGGAGGAGAAAAGAATCCACTCATCTTTTTGGAGTCAAATATTGGTGAATAAAAGACGATTTTTCCCCACCTGCCAGGCAGATTCGAGGTTGAGCCACACGGAGTATTGCTGGTAGATGGAAGAAGCAATGACACGCTGCATATCTCTGACTCTACGAGGTCATCAGAGCGGAGATGTCGAGCACGAATGGAGAAGAGGCATGAGTGGTTATGCGCCTGATGTGGAGCAGCTCGAGCTGGACATCAGGCCAAGGTAGCCTGGCGGATTTCTAGGTGATCGAGGCATGCGAGGTCTGTTGCATTGGCACATTTTTTTTCTCTATATACTACCACATTCTGATTTCAAGCTCTTGACCATATAATCAAGTACCAAACGCCTCCAATTGTAAAAAATTGATAAATTTGATCCTCGGGTTGGTTTCAAAGGTGTTTTTCTAATTTTAAAACCTATAAAAATCTTGTTTAATCTCTAAAAAATTATAACCAATTTATTTTAAACCAGGAAAATACGAAACCAATAAAAATTTGTTCATAGAAATGTATCTATCTATTGGTGATCAACATAAAGTAGAGTGCAAAAACGATAGTTTAAATACACAACATGGGTAAGTACAACTAATGAAACACTAGGAACATGGACGAATAAGATCAAAATAACTTCAAATAAAGCACCAAGAGATAGATAACCTTTTTTTTCAAACAAAATGGTACTAGCTCTGTATAAATTTATTTAAAATAAATTATTTATGAATTTTTAGAGAACGACCTTGAAACCAGTCGAAGTACCAAATTTGTTTGGTTTTCGATAGTTGGAGGGCGCCCAGTACCTTATTTCACATTTTAAGTTTGAAAATCGAACAGACATACAAGTTAGAAGAGGTTGGAAAATAGACTTCATCCTCATATAAATCATACATCTGATTTGTTCCGTCTACTTTGTCGTGTCGTAATTTAGCCTAATTAATTAAAACAGGGTTGTTCTTTAATTTTGGACACGGTGAAAAGAGCCGCAGCCACTTTCCCTTTCCCCTCTCACAGACGATCACTATAGCTGCAGCCATTGCTACATTACACTATTGTTGAAGCAATGGCGTTTAGTAGGTTCACATATTGTTGCAATACACTATTGTTAAGTTTGAAAATCGTATCATCGCATGGTGCCAATTTATTATCCTCTCCTGGTCCCTGGCTCCTCCACAACCACGACGACGATGCACAAAGCAACCGAAACCAAAATATCAAGATGCGCATGCAGATACTCCGGGCAAGGACAAGTGTACTGTTACATACGACCACCAGGTCAGCGTCGTCCTTGCACGCAACAGACATGATGTAACAGCGCTGCACGTACGCACCAGTGGGCACCGACCAACAAATTTATTTAAAATAGACGCATCAGCCAATTTCCAGCGAAACAAACAGGGCCAAAACCATGAGAAGGATGAGGCATCAGCATTTCTGCTTAATACCTTGGCAAGAGTGTCTACCGGCTTCTACCAAAAAAAAAAAAGAGTGTCTACGGTGTACTGTTCACGACTTGACGTGCCGACGTCCGGCCTTGCTCGCGCTACATGCTGCGGCCTGCTGGGCTGGCAAGAGTCCACATTCAGCAACCGTCTGTGTCATCTTCGTGGTCTCGTGGATTATTGAAACGAGATGGGCTTCTGATCCATGCAGGCTTGGTATATACAGTGACAGGCCTAGGGCCGGTTTAGATTCCATTTTACATACTTGAACTTGAATTATCGCTAGAGTTAAGGTTTTCTTCTTTTCAAATTCTAACAAACCTCCCTCCCTCAACATCTATAATTGCTCCTCTTGTAAGCACACCCTATCCAGCCCAAGTTGATGTGGTTCATCTATGTGCGGCACGCACACTCAGCAAAAAAAAAAAAATTGTTTATATTAGCTACCTAGCTTCCCGCCCAGGTTACACAGGTGGTTTTCATGACAATTTCGTCCCCTTTAGTTCAATATAACAATTTCATTAAATACCTGATAAGTTTTTACAAAAACATATATTTTCAATTTTGGAAAGTTACAATATCATACTCATAACTTATAACTTTTGTGCATAACATTTTACAGTAGAAAACCTATCACCACAACTTCTTATCATAACTTTTAATATAGTTTTCTTAGGTAATTTCAAATACAATTTATCGTGAAAACTTTTCTAAGTTACCTTTGCAACCCATTTGTTCATAATTTTCAACGGGCAAACACAATTTCTGAACATAAATTTTCTAATAAACTTCTATATAGTAAATTTTTACAAATAACCCCTCAAAAAAAATTACAAATAATGTAATTTATGCATGTAATAAAATATAGATAACTTATCCAACATATTGTTTATGTAATTTGTTCCGGACAATGTTCTGGATCTAAAAAAAAGTTTGTTCATAGTATATAGAATAAAAATTGGATATGTTAATATAAAAAATAAAAATAAATAAAAGACAAAGGTAAGAAAACAATATAAAAAGAAAAAATAAATTTGTTTGGTTTCGATAGTTGGAAGGCATATGAACTGAATTCATAGTTTATGGTTAAAAATCAAACTGATGTATAAGTTGCAGATAGAAAATTGGTTATAAATAAATCATACATTTCATTTTTGTTACGTATGACACTGTCTACTTTGCCATGTCCTAATTTGATGTAGTTAATTAAAACGGGTGTGTTCTTTAATTTTGGACACGGTGAGAAGGTTAACGTGAGTGGCCGCAACCGTCCAGGGACGGGGTACCACCATGACACAAGCTCACAAACATATTTATGGTCCGTTTGGCATGACTTCAGATTTGGCAAAAACAGCTTCACCTCTGGCTCTTACACCGGAGCAAATTCTCTGGTAGAGCTGAAATTGTATTGTTGAAACGCTGGGTAAAACAGCTCCAGCTAGTTGTTAAAAAGAATGAATGGTCTATTATCGTGGCAAAACCGCATAATCTAATATCTCCCATGAGTACTTGTCTTCCATTAAACACTAATTACTTAAGGGAGGGCACCAAATTACGCAGTTCTGTCGAGCACACCCCAAGGGAGAACCTAAAAATCCATATTTTTCATCAGGATCACAAATAACAGAATAAAGCTTACATCATTCTTAACCATTTCTTACATCACTTTACATGCAGCATCAGAGTATAATATTGATTATTATAACAGCAGAATGTAATCAGGTTATCAGAGTTACGGACAATTTAATTCAACAACGGAATATAAACATGTGATCAGAGTTACAGCGGAAATAATTATCAATTCATGACATGAGGAAGCATTAGTATATAAGCTATGACAACAGATTATAAAAACTTTCATTTATAAAAAACATTTAGTGAGAGTTATAAATAAAAACTATGATCGCAGCGTAAAAGAATCCTCTCTAAGTCTACCAGGAGGACTCCACACACAAAGATCAGCTCTAGCATCCACCTGTCACCTGCAATAGGAGCAAATAAAACCCTGAGTACTTAATTGTACTCAGCAAGACTTACCCGACAGGAGGAAAAAAAAGACTCCAAGGATATACAAGGCTATCTGGCTTGTGGGTTTATTGCATCTGCAGGAAGCATTACTAAGTGTGCGTCCTTATATTCAATTTTATTAGCAGTCATCATTAGTTCATTAACTAACCATTCTATATAAGCACATGTGCTACTTTCAAGCAGATGGTAAGCAATCAGAATCATTTTATTATCTTTCATCTTCTAGTTCTTACTACGGTGCTAGATTGTAGACAAGTCGTATCGACACGACGGCGATTCGCGAATCAATGTGCCCAGCTGGATACCCCGAAACACACGCCCCGGTTGTACCCCAGGCACAAGCAGGACCAACCCACTACCCTCCTGTCATGGGGTCCAGGTCCCCGTCCAAATTTGGACTCCAAGCCCCCGTCCCTGAGTCCCGGACTCAGAGCAGTGCTAGGACCTCCAACCCAAAAACCACCATGAAAGTCGGTCCGGAAAGAGTCGGAACCCATGACAAGAGAGTAACAAGTCTTCCCTACGCC